TCAGTCTCTTACTGATTAAAAACTACCCCGTTCCCGCTAAGTTCAACCCGTTAAGTTCTTTGCGTCTCGATTGATTCCATTGAGTTCTTGGTTACAGTATAGCAATATTACATTAACTAATCCCTGGTCACTAGTTTTTTCATTTATAAAGTTTTGCCTCCCCGTTTCTAGTTTGAGGTTTGGCTTGTGAATAGAGAGTTGGGCTTCATTAATTAACGTAACTTAGTTATCCCCTGACGGACGTCAAGCCAATTTAGGTATAAGCGTGAGAGATAAGTTTCATTTATAAATGTCATACCTTTTAGTAAAATGAACATAATAATTTAAAATCCTCGTTTTCTGAATCCTCGAAGGGATACTGAATGAGTTTCATTTGCTGCCTCGTTGGCCGAGTGGTCTCAAGTCGGGCAAAGTATTACTGGGTATTTTAAAAATTCTCAGTAGTAGCACGGAGCCTGGAACTGTGCCCGGTATATGGCAATAGGCTCACCTCCTATTACATGGGACTCATAACATAAATAGTGAAAAGTGGGTGTTACATTGTACAGTGGCATAATGTGCACCTCTGCCTAGCCCTTCGAGGATAAAAGATGATGTTATGTTATTTTATGTTTCATTAACTAGGAGCGAGCCTTTTGCCGCTCACCAGACAATTTGAAAACACATAGACTTTAAAACCAAAAATCATTTAGTGTTTTTGAAGAAGGTTTAAAAAAATGTTCACGTTCGGAGATTTCATTTATATTTTTGAGGCTGATCAAATTTAAATCGAAATTCAATTTGGAGTTCGTCACGGCAATCAGTTTTATTGACAGATCCTTTTATACAGATTTCAGTGAATTATTTTTTTTTCTATTTGAACTAGTGGACGGTCTTTAAATGTCAAACCAGGCTGATGGTCTTTTAAATGCAATTAGGTTTGTTGTACTGTCGAATTTATCCGTACTAATATTATAAATCGGAAAGTGAGTTTATTTGTTTGTTTGTTCCGCTTTCACGCCGTAACCACTAAACCAATTGCTTTGAATTTTTACAGACGTAAAGTTAGAAGTCCGGATTTAATAATAGGGTATTTTTTATCTCGGAAAAATGTGCCATTCCCGAGGGAAAACAAGAGTATTGGTATAGATGGCGCTGTGTGTATTGGCGCTTTTGTGACGCGAGCGAAGCCGCGGGTAAAAGCTAGTAGTAACAGTACATAATAGTACATATAAATATATATAAATTATATATATATAAAATATATATATAAAAAACATACATATAAATAGTACATAACAGTACATAATAATAGTAACAGTAAAGTAACCTCGCAACCCAGCCATCGCGAAGGACACACCGGGCGTCGGGGATCGCGAGACGATCTCCGGCCACCGTAAGCGCGGGCCTGCGGACGGCGAGCATGGGTGGCTCCCCGTCCGACCAGAAACAGACCCGAGCGTACGGCGCGTCGCGTTCCGCGCGCGCCTCAAAGAGCCATCAGACCACCACAGATGGGGCCCAATAGGGCCGATGCCGATTCGGAGTCGCGGAGAACCTAACGGGTAACCGGGGCTCCGGCTCGACGTGCAGGAGAAGGAACGGGGTGGTTTTTAGTCAGTAAGAGTCTGACACTCCCTCCCGCCCCACCCAGGCGGGAGCAGTCATTCGATGATTTTCCCCCCTTAAAAAAAAGGCTTTAATTGCTTTGTGTTTTATAACCTGTAAGAAAAAACAATGCAGAAGAAATATGTCATAACACTCATATTTTTGGATAAAACTATAGAATGCCTTTTACTACATCTCATATACTTGTTTAGCTATCGCCGCATTCATCTTCAAGTCTTCAGTTAACAGTATTCCGTTCCCGGATTTCTGACGCATTTACAATTATTTTACATTAAGGTATAGCTACATACATTGAATAGACCAGCATTTATTAACCTTACATCCATTAAGAATGAGCTGACAATAACATATTTCATCATATATCATCGTATCTTTCCATACCTCGATAAATATGAAATTGTAAGCGTATATTGGAGGTTTTATATCTTATTTTGCTCGTGTATTTTGATATATGGCCCCTGGGAGGGTAATTTGTGCAGTGATGCGAATCAGTTTGTAAAACGACCTACGGGTGTGAAGAGAAATTTTAAGGCTCTTATGTAGTCTGCTAATTTTTTCCGCATATTTGGTCTCCTGAATATAAGCGTGACTAATGAGTACGAATTTTTGACTAGGTACTTATTAAATATAATTTCCTAGTATAATTAAAACCACTGCCTCGTTGGCCAAGTGATCGCAAGTGCGACTGCTGGGCAAGTGGTCTCGGATTCGATTCCAGGGTCGGACAAGGTATCTATTACTGGGTTTTTAAAAAAGTTCTCAGTAGTAGTACGGAGTCTAGAATTGTGCCCGGTATATGGCAATAGGCACATCTCGTATTACACGGGATTCATAACCTAAATAGTGAAAAGTGGGTGATACATAGGCAATCAATAGATCATTAGGTAGACGATGATACAGAAGTTTGTGTATCAATGTATATCTCGCACATAAAGCCTTTGATGTCACAGTTTATGTTGCACCAGTTTATCTAAAATAGCTACATTATGTGTGCTTGTAAACCGGACGCTTTGCTCGCAACTTTGTCTGTATTGGAAATTAAATGTTGCTCAACTTACTGATAATCTTGTCCACCATAGATTCAATAAAGTTTTAAAGTTAAACCTTTACAAAGTCGCGGAGAACCTAACGGGTTACCGGGGCTCCGGCTCGAAGCGCAGGAGAAGGAACAGGGTGGTTTTTAGTCAGTAAGAGTCTGACACTCCCTCCCGCCTCACCCAGGCGAGAGCATTCATACGATGATTTTCCCCCCTTAAAAATAAAACCTTTAAAAAATTCAACAGTGTTTCCTCTATAAACTTGAAATAATATCAACAGATTTAACTTACGTACGTGAATTGTAAGGATACCTCATTAAAACCTCTTTGTTAATTTTTTCTCTGTCATTTCTCGTTGTTATTGTTATTGATTTTCTGCGCCATGTTTTTTTTTATTTGAAATCTCTTATAGGTACTCTTCTGTTCTTCATTTGTTCAAGTATCCAGAACGCATTTGTATTAGTAACAATGTTATTTGCTCTTTTGATAGAACTTAACTTAGTACAAAGTTGTGTTAACAATTTGTACGCAATTCATGATTATTAATTATGATAATGACTTAATTATGATCACATCATATTATTAATTATCTTAGTACTAATCCATCTCAGAAAGTCAGACATTATTATGAAACCTCATTAAAAATGCATATTTAAAGCAAAAATCATAATAATTATTATAATGATGATATGTTAAACCATCCCCATCAGTCGTTCACAAAAAGCCACCAGTAACTAACACACTAATTTAACTAAACGAAGCATCCCACACAGTTTTATCAAAGTGTCTGCTACTCAACTTGGGAATTATTTTAAGTGTCGTGGTATGGCATAATTTGCGTGCTCAAATTTCAAGTTAGTCATGTAATAGTAACTTGGGAATAAGTTTTATCATGTTAGGAATAAGTTCGTGTCTGTAGGAACTTATGTCGATGAGAAGTTCTTGCTTTGTCATTCATTAATCATGAGGCAAGTATTTGGGGGAGACAATTTCCATCAGGAAAATTACTTTGGAAATGTGGTGGTATCACTACATAGTATATAACAAAATCACTATCCGCCGTCTGTCTGTCCCTATGTATGCTAAGATCTTTAAAACTACGGATTTTGATGCGAGTTTTTTAATTGATAGAGTGATTCTAAACGAAGGTTTATATGTATAATACATGAATATTGCACCTGTGCGAAGCTGGGGCGGGTCGCTAGTGTAAAATATGGTAGGAATGGGGAACGAGGGTTGTAATTTAAATAAATACTTCTGGATCCTGCTTCATATTGCACTATTAGAATAGGTGAAAGTGGGTATTACATTGTACAGTGTCATTAAGTGCACCTCTGCTTACTCTTTCGGGGATAAAGGAAAAGGAAAAGGCGTGATGTTATGTTGTTATCAATTATATTCCAGTTCTGCCGTATATCATGCATTATTCATAACTGGGAAATAAAATATGCAACAGATATTAAACTACAGGTGAAAACTACTGACATTTTTCAAACAGTAGGTACGAAATTTGAGAGAACTGGCTTAGTAGCACATTCACCATTTAACATACTTTCCCAAGCTCAGCTAATTGTTCACACCTTTTTGAAGTTCCCTTTTATGTTAAAGAGCGTAGACGTAATATGAGCCATTTTAATTTTTGACGCGTTCTAGCAAAATGTTCTTTCATTTTAAAAAACAAAATGAACACAGAATGTTTGATGTCTTTTTCTTAAACAGTGTTTAGTTATATGTAGGTACTTCTAATATTACTTCCTACATTACCTCTATTATAGGTATACAAAATTCCAATACCCATCAAATAATTCCATTATCTTCGAATACTTCGACGTCAAGATGTCACAAACAATTTTATTCACGTTCGGAACTTCATTTCCCTTGCCGCTACGCCGTAGCATCGAAAATACTGGTGCTACGTGCGTAGCGTTTTCGTAGCAGTTTGGAAAGTAAGAGCTACGAAAGTTCTTATCGTAACGCAGTTAGGTGGACCGATGATATATTGAATATATTTTGTTATTGCATTATTGGATGGGAAAAGGGACCAAATGGGGTCATGATACATGTTTATGCAAAAATATAGTGAATTGGTGACTTTTTCATTCATTTTGTCGGACGTGTTAGTATGGGCAATGTGGATAAAAGGAAATGCTTAATAGAAGTATATGATGATGCACATTAGAACTGTAATACTGTAGGCAATAATCCGCTACCTGGATCATGAACTTAAACTAAATGAAAACAAAAATATATAAAGAGTTACGTTGATTTTGCCAATCTATACATGACATAGCCAGAGCCAGTACATCTGCAATAGCAAAAATACTACAGTAATAAATTAATTTTATTTCTTTTAAGATCTAACACAAGACACTTTCATAATAACTTTGAAATCAAAGACAGGATACAATAATGGATATAAAATAGTGTTGAAAACAGCAGAAAAAGTAACTGTAGTGATCAGTGTTTGAACTTCAACGGTTGTTCTCTTCGTAAGTGTTCGGCTATCATCGGGTGTGTTCGGAAAAGGCCGAAGCCATCCGATTGGAGTGGAGGTGTAAGATGGAAGATAATGCTGACAGGCAGTGTAAATATAGGTAAGTTTAAAAAATAAAATGTTTTTCTGTAATAAAGGATGTGTATTTTTCTTATTTTATTAAGAGTATGAAGAAAAAAGGATTATAAAATTTGGTTTTTGATTGTGTTGATGATCAAGAGTATTAAGTTTGGTGTTCCAAATAAGTTAATATATTGTCTGGAATTGAACGTACTAATGTACGTATTAATGTAAGTGAATCCTAAGAATATCTCTGTTTCAACCTTTCAGCAATAAAAAGCGTGAAGTTTTGTAGACACAATGGATTGAAACTTCACTCCAATTAGGAAAGGGTTCAAGTTGCATTTTAATGATCTGCCATGCAACGTTCTCTTCAAAGTTTAGTGATAGACTCTAATTAGTCTTTGGAACTGCAGTGCAAGAATTTGAGAATTTGATGCCTTCATCCAACAAGAGAGGTTCAATATTAAAATTTAAGTCTTAAATCTAGAGTTAAATAAAGTTTGAAATTATTTAAATGCCACATAACTTGAGCTATCTCTCATCGATATTTGATGATCGATATTACATAAGCATAGAGAATAATTTTGTACTAAATAAAACAGCGAACACTTAGTAGAATATAATTTAGCAACTATGTTATTGTCCCACGCTAGGAACTGTGCACAATTTCAAATCCCATAAAATATTTATCTTAAATTGAAAATTTTATCCGTTGGCTCAATTTGAGAATCAAGCAAAAGACTGTGCATAGCAGTAGTTTCTGTAACGACCACTTGATTGATGAGACAATTACTTTAAGCGTCAAAATTCGACTACAATACAGGGTGTAAACGCAACGCTACCGAAAAATACAGGTGATGGTAAAAAACAAGTTGACTGCATGGTTGGCGCGATAGTTGGGCAACTGACTGCCCCGTAACGTGTCGCGGGTTCGATTCCCGCACGGAACAACACTGTGTGTTATCTAAAGGTGTCTCATGTAACTTGTATATTGTAAACGCACCCACGACACGAGAAAATCCTAGTGTGGGGCAACGATTTTTACTTTAAGTTTAATTTTCATAAAAGTAAGGAATTAAATGTTCCTTGTAAGTAATAGTAGTACTTAGCCGCTCAATGCTGATGTTGCATGAATAACACGAAAACAAAAACGACTAAAATTGTCAAAACATTTTTTTGTCAGCGTTTCGGGAGCGTTGACGTTTACACCCTGTATCTTTTGAAGTCAAAGTTCAACTAATACAGTTTACCTACTTTAATAAAATAACTTTGTAGAACTTAATAACTGTTTTACACGTACCGCAATGCAGGTTAAGTAACCACTATACTGAATGCATGAAGTTTCAAACAGCCTTACCTTGTGCCCAATAACAGGCTGTTAACTGTTACGTTACCTTGATATTTAATATTTAACTCGACGCTTTATAAGTTTATTTAATAGTTTGTATGATACTTAACATCAAGTATTATTTAACTCTTGCAAACGGAGATGGTGACGATGTAAAAAACTAACATCTCATAAACTAGTTATGTTATTAATACGTTGATATATCGTACCGAAAATTTGTTCATGCAAAAGTGGTGTCTAGTTCTCTACACATTGGTAATAAGGTCTATAATGAAGTTAGTGGAAAGCAATCACCGATGACCGTTTGGGGATTTAAACATATCGTGCGGGTATTCCATTCACGAAACTAGCACATTTTTAGGGCTTGTCCAAAAAATTATCGTTGTGTTTCTTTCACAATCTGAAATTCAAAAGATGACGAAACTAGGTTTTTTGAAAAAATTGGACCTTCTTTAGTCATGACGAGATTATTATAAATTATAGCTACTAAAATTTTATAACATAACATCACGCCTTTTATCCCCGAAGGGGTAGACAGAGGTGCACATTATACCACTGTACAATGTAACACCCACTTTTCACTATTTATGTTATGAGTCCCATGTAATAAGGTGTGAGCCTATTGCCATATACCGGGCACAATTCCAGACTCCGTGCAGTAGCACTGAGAATATTTAAAAGCCCAGTAATACTTTGCCCGACCCGGGAATCGAACCCGAGACCCCTTGCCCGGCAGTCGCACTTATGACCACTCGGCCAGCGAGGCAGTCGCAAATTCGCACTAAAATTTTATATTCAACTTAATAGAAGCAGGCTGACCGCTATCAAACACAGACCTTTAGCTATTTCTGAGAAACTTAATAACACTTTACTGAGTACCAAGCACGAATAACTATCGCAATCGTAACGTAATAGTATCGAGTGCGTTCGGCGCTCTGATTGGCCGGCTCAAGTGAACCAACCAATCAGGACGCTTACTTCGCTCGATACTGTTACGATACGAATGCGATAGTTATTCGTGCTTGGCCCTCTGGGGCTGAAATTGAACACTTCACTTGATTACGTGTCGAAACTGCGTTTTGTGGTACAAATTGGTTTTCAGTTAGCTTCGGTTTTGCCTGAAAATGACCTCAACTGTATTAATGAAATTCAAATTGATTATTAGACAAACTTTTTAGCAGAACTAATAAGTTGTATAAATGCAAAATGGAGTATAAACACGCTTTTTTTCATTTCACCAGTTATAATTAGAATGACAAAAACCAAAATTGAAATAGTGTGTTTAGCGAATATATTAAAATGCATTACATTTTCTTATTGAAGTAAATTCTACATGAAAAGCTTGTGATAACTAGAAATACACATATTTTTTAACGCACAGATCCAGATATCAAACCGAGGATCTCCTTTGACCTCGTAATTTCAACCTCTAATCAAACAAGGAGGTCACAAGTTAAATTAAAATAAAGAATATAAATATTAAATGAAAACTCCAAGTTCTAGTAAATGAAGAAAGTTGTTTGTTAACGAATATCAAGTTACACCTACGTACAGTTTTCATTTGATTACACAATTTGTGTGGGTTCAAGAGTTTAGGAGTGTTATCTTCAATTTACCAACAAAAACAAACAAAGTTACGATAGAACATCTAAGTTGTTGAAAATTGAAAAATTTTAAGTGTGGAAGTTTAGAGCCATGCTTCGGCACGAATAGGCCGGCTCGACCGGAGTGACACCACGGCCTCACAGAAGACCGATGTGAAACATCGCTTGCTTTATGTTTCGTCGTGTGTGAGTGAGGTTAGCGGAGCCCCTCCCTCCCCAATCTCCCCAAACCCCGAATCCCCAATCTCCCCAAACCCCGAATCCCCAACCATCCTCAAACTCCTAATCCCCAAAAGGCCGGTAACGCACTTGTAACGCCTCTGGTGTTCCAGGTGTCCATCAGGTAATACGTCTGCTCGTTTACTGGCTAATGCCATAAAAAAATACAACTTATTTTACAAATTCTATTGGCATCAATGGAAGTGTTTCAGTAAGTAGTAAGTAGAGAATATTTTATGTGAGTCGTTTTTGAACCACATAGAGATAAAGTTCGTTTAATTTGTTCAACATGAGTATTACATACAAAATGCATGCAATATATTATAGATTATAGAAGACTATTATTACAACCATTATTCATGGAGTTTTGAGAATAGAATTCAATGTTAGATATAGTGAGAACTACTGCGTAATTAGACTTAAATGGTAAAAAAATGTACAGTTCGGTGTATAACAAGAATAGCTAAACGTTATAATGAACCCTTTCAAATTCTCTGTAAAAGATAGTGTAGTCCTTTATAGTACCTACATTTTTGCCAACACATTCACTCAATACATTTAACAAGGCTCTCAAGAAATATACATAGAACCTTTCTTATCGCTTTCAGTTGCTTGAATAACTTCCTTTTTAAGACTCCTCTGTAAGACTACAGCCTCTCTTCGACTTTACATAAGCTATATATCCGTTACTCAGACAAAACGTTAAGCTGTCTGTACAAATACTATGTATTACATTTTACTTCAAAGTGCTACGGCTACGAGCTACGGCGTAGCAGCGTTACGACAAACGCTACGAAATAATATATCTTCTATTTATTATTTTGTTCGTGAGATGAAATGCGACATAGTTGAATTTATGTCTTGAATAAAATGAATATGTATAATACAATTTGTTGTATGTAGCAAAGTGATGTCTATGAATTTCATGAATACGTTCACTAACTTCTTTGTGTAGAGTATAGGTGGGTTTATAAATAGATTGTTGGTGTATGACTTATATCTTATTAATTAACTTACACCATATACTGTAAATGTTAGACTAATAAGACAGTAATCATAAACTTACAATAAAACTCCGTCCAAATTTTTTCTAGTAAATCATACAAACGACTACCTTGACAAGCAACGGGAACTACAAATAAAACTCAGACAGAACCAATTTACTTTTATTGAAAAAGTTCGACGATTTCCTTCAAAAAGTCTGTCTACCTGTTGGTTAATGACACCTCGTAACTTTCTGTATTCATTTGATGGCTCCCCTTAATAGACCATTACTTTCATCGCACAATTTTGGTGAATACTAACCTGATTACCTATGATGGTGCCTAACTATAAATAATAAATAATAATCTATAACGAAATCTTAATTGGTGCTAAATAACATTATATCAGCATCCTATAGGAAATTGGTGTGTTGAAAAAACTGACTGGAAAACACATTTTTCAGTCTGTTTATTTTGGTAGGGTATTGGGATTAGGCCGTTATATTTGCCAATCTGCATAGCAAGCACTCTGTGTTCAATTCATTAGTAAAACATAGAGAATCTTTTCTTACCTTTATTCACCGTATTACTTTCGTAAAATTTTATGGTGCGCGTAAGACATTGATATATTTTACCACCTCATCTTCCGCGAGTATAAGAGCCAATCTTTGCAGATACGATAACCACGCCCGGCAAACAAATATTCTAAAACATTTCAGCTGAAACTCCCTTCATCCGAAACCAATCTATCTTCTTCATACAATCTTTTGTTCAGCTAAAAACTCCCTTTGCTTTTCAATACCATAAAAGATATTGAAGCTACGTATGGGAAAATACGGAGCTTTTGGAAGTAGTCACTGGCGCTGCGATCGCTTTTTAGAAG